CTCATATGTTGACATAGTTGACCTTTATGACTTAAATGTTGACATGGTGACCTCAGCAATGACCTCATTGTTAACCTCTGGTTGACGCTTATTGTGACTTTGGTTGACCTCAGTAATGACCTTGTTGACCTCTTCGCACTGTCTGGCTGCAAGGAGCTGAGACACAGGCTCGAATTGGCGCTGAGAAAGGACGGCATCGTGGATGGAGCTGAATCAGCATCCGCGGGCGCACGCTGGCGCGGTCGAAGCTTCGTCCATTGCTCCAACACGCGCCGAACGCCGTAACGCCCGGCATCACGCCACGCGAAGCCTCAACGGCTGGGCTGTAATGTAGATTTGGATGGTAAGTTCGTACCAGAAGAAAAAATTTCTTTTATCCTAAGTCCTGTGGGAAAAATAGCTGTCCCAAAAACTTAACACGGCGAGCTTTTTGAGCCTCAGGGAGGCGATTTCGGAGTTGAGTGTAGATCGACATCGCTATCGCCTGCCCGCGTGGTAGTTGTTTTACTGCCTGGTTCGTGCAGACCTGGCGTTTGGGTCTGGGGTGGAGATGTGGGTGTGGTTGGTGGGTGGTCGAGGTGGTCGGGGTGGGGAGGGGTGGGGTGGGTGGGACGAGGTGGCGGTGTGGTGGGGCGGGTGGGGTGTGAAGGTGGGGGTGGTGGGGTGGGTAGTGGGGTGATGGTTAGGGTGAGGTGGTTTTGGTGGTGGTTCGGGGGGTGCGGGCAGCTGGGCGTGATGGGGTAGAAGATGGTGAGGCGTGGGGTAGTCGGGTAGTGGGGTTGTGAGGGCGGTTGGGTGATGGGTGGGATGGTCGAGGTTGGTGGTCGGGGGGGGGGGGTGTGAGGGTGGGTGGTCTGGGTGTGAGTGAGGTGTGGGGTATGGTGGGGGTGGGCGGTTGGGGTGATGGGGTGGTATGGTGAGGTTGGGGTGGTCGAGGGGGGGGGTGCTGGCATGGGTGGGGTGGAGGGGCATACAAGTGGCTGGCAGAGCAGTGCAGTTGTGCTGCGGCTGATTACTCAACTGCTGCATTTGTAATTGAGTTTAGATTTGCGGCGAATTTCCCCGGTGTATGGTTTTAATAGTAAGGGTTAAGTTGAGGGCGCGTGCGGACTCACAGCGTGCTGTTCACAGCGGGCGGTGGAAGGTGTGATAAGTGGGTGCTGGAGTGAGGCTGTGCGGCTATTGGCGGTCACACAATGCATACAAATTAATTTCTCTCTGACGTATTCGCACTGAATTCCCCTCCAATCGATTCTCTCGCCTTTCAGACGGAATTGTCGATGCGCCCTCTGCTGACAGGAATGCACGGCGGCCAAAGTCGATTGCCGGCTACCTTCACCCGGAGGATCGCAGCGTCTCATTCGCTCGCAGGAGAAACGCGCAGCAAGCTAAGCGGCAGTCTCTTTCCACGGGCGATATCCGCAGCGTGGGGAGGGACAGCAGGCAGTGTGAGTGCGGGCGGACTAGCGTTGTGTGGTGCAGCGTGGGGAGGGACAGCAGGCAGTGTGAGTGCGGGCGGACTAGCGTTGTGTGGTGCAGCGTGGGGAGGGACAGCAGGCAGTGTGAGTGCGGGCGGACTAGTTGCCTGCTGTCCCTCCCCACGCTGCACCACACAACCCCCACGCTGCACCACACAACGCTAGTCCGCCCGCACTCACACCTAGTCCGCCCGCACTCACACTGCCTGCTGTCCCTCGTTGTGTGGTGCAGCGTCGGGAGGGACAGCAGACAGTGTGAGTGCGGGCGGACTAGCGTTGTGTGGTGCAGCGTGGGGAGGGACGGCATCACATTTTGGGGCTGGTGGGGAGTTTTCAGCCAGACTACAATGCCAGTGATAGTACTACTGCTGTAAAATTGCACGCTCACGCTTCGTCTGACGTTTGTTTCGGTTTCGGTGGCAGCGACGATGCTCTCCTTCTTCTTCCGGGATTCTCGTCTTTGGTCTGTCCTTTCCGCGTCTTCTGCGCTTCACCGCGCGGCGTGTCCTGTGCTTGCAGGTGGCGACCGGTTGCACGAATCACACCAGAGCATCAAAGACCGTGTGCTGAAAGCGATGCGCAAGTACAAGCCGAAGGGAGGCGATGCGGAGAACGCACACGCTGGACCGTCAACGCTCAGCAAGATACGCGCAAAGCTGAGGAAGAGTAAGGAGACGGACATACACCGGCTCCACCCGGCACCGCAGCTACACCCTGTGCTGCCGCCGCCGCCGCCACCGCTGGACGCGCCACAGACTAGACGCGGTAAACAGCGCCGCCTAGTGGTGGCTCGTCGCGCCGCTGCCCCCACGCTCTCTCTTCCTCTTCAGCGTCTTGCTTGGTACTCCTCGGTGATAGTGCACGGTCTGTTTCGAAAGAGTCTTACAGGGAACTTTAAGACCTGTCTCGCTTGCTCTCTGTCTCTCTTTCTCGCTATGCATTGCTGTGGTTAACACTTGCGTGTGGCGTATGTTGTGATACTAGCAGCACGAGCGGATGGGTTGTCTCTCAGAGTCAGACTCTAGGCCAGCCAATCTGACGTGTGGGTTTTACTTTGATTGTGTTGTAGACGAGCTCAGCGCAACGGAAGTTGCCGCGGGAAAGGTGCAAGGATTCGAGAGAGGTATGGGCACGCAACTTATGCATCAGTCGTCTGTTGTGCATGCAGCGCCATCTGTGGCCATGATTGAAGACATGGCTGCTAGATTGCTGAGCCCTGCTGAGAGTGATGCGCTTCTGTATCACGTGAGGAGGGTAGGTCGTCATTGGTTTATAACACACAGATCCATCCACTATGTGTGAAAATATCGACCAATACGAAAAAGCTTGTTTCTCTAACATTTCTTTTGCGAGAACACTATTCAAAGGAACGTCTGTTTGTCCAAAAACTCATCATCATTGACTTCAATAACAGTTGCTAAAGTGGGATGTGCAATCTAATGTCTAGAAGTTAACTGTGGGTTTCTCTTATAGTTATATAAGCATCTGTTTTACAAAGGATGTGAATAGTTGATAGAGGATATGGGGTTTAATTTTTTTTTTTACCAATTTAAAAAAAATTGTTTTAACCCACTATATGTTCTTGGAACGTTTGCATAAACTCACAAAAATATATCAGTTTTGCATATTATTTTTCGTTTTGGCTTCTCACAATTGATTATTACCTCCAGTGGGTAGTTGTGTCATTTCTGTCACCCAACTCCCATAAAAGTTTCTCTTCTTACTATATCTATTCTTCTCTGCTGTTATACTAGGTGGTCTAACATTGCATTCGTGCATTATCCTGGTACTGCAAGGGAAGCTGTGTTTATATGGTTAGGTGGTGGAAAACTAATGACATCCTACCTGAATCAGTATGGCTTTGTCTCTCGCTTGCAGTGTGTCTGTTCTCTTTGTCTTCGATATCTTGTGAGAGTAATGAGCATTTCTATTGTAGTTCTGCGGTAATTTGCATCTGCTGTATCCGTTTTCCGTGTACCGCTCTTCTTACTTACTGTGCGTTTGTGTGTGTGTGCGTGTGAGCGTGCGTGTGTGTGTGTGTTTGTTTGAGTGACCGTGTGGCGTGTGTGTGTGTGTGGGTGTGTGTGTGTGTGTGTGTGTGTGTGTGTGTGCGTGCGCTGCGTCGCGTGCTGCCCGTGCGTGCCTGCGTTTGTTTGAGCAAGTGTGTGTGCTGCGTGTGCACAGTGTGTTTGTTTGATGAGTGTGTTGTTACGTGCGTGCGTGCGTGCGTGCGCGGCGTGCGTGCGTGCGACGTGTGGTGTGTTTTCGCGCGCCGTGCGTCGCGTGCGTGGCGTGCGCTGCGTGTCGTGTGTGTGTGGCTGTTGTGTGTGCTGTGTGTTCGGCATGTATGTGTGTGTGTGCATCCCGTATAGCGCACGTGATAGTGTGGTCGTGTGTGTGTGTGTTGTGTGTGTGTGTGTGTGTGTCTGTGTGTGTTTCGTTGTTCGATGTAGTGTGTGTGTGTTCGCATGTATGTGTGTGTGCTCGCATATGCGCGCGTCTGTGTATGTGTGTTTATAAGATGGCTAGTGCTCCCTCTCGGCCTACCACGTCTGATTTCTTAATCTATCTCCATTTCTATCTCATTTCTATCTGTTTTCATCTTGATTTCGTTCATCTTGGTGATAGTGTCCGAATAGAGTGCGTTCCCGTATCCAGTCTGGGTAGTGTGTGAGTGATTGCTTGTGTATGAAGTTCGTGAATATTAAAATTTTCAGATACTACATGCCTTGAACATAGTGAGCGTTCTCTATGACGTCATAGTTGTCCGGTCGATTGTTGGTGACTCTAGCTGTTGCTACTAGCCTCATGCCAGTTTGCTGTTGTGACATTGCTGTGTGCAAACGGCTATCCCTAATACTTAGTAATAAGTTCCTTTCATTCGGTCCTGCTAGTTATTGTGCTGTGCAACCTGGACCATACTTGTAGCTACAGTGCCTTGTTTGACCATGCGCACGTCTGCTTGCTTAAGAAAATTGCCATGTACGGTGGAGGTCACTAATACGTTCTGATTTGCCCTTAGTTAGAAGCCATGGAATAAAGTACTATGATAGCCTATGCAATCACTAATAAATAATCAACAGGTTTACCTGAAATTGCCACACCAATACTTAAATTTGTTAGACTCCTTATTCAAGATAGTAAAGATTCAAATTGCATGATACACATGCTATGATTATTGTGCATTGATATATCTGTATACAGAAGAAGCAATGGTCTCATTATATTTTCATTATTCTTATTTTCTACTGGTGTTCCTGGTACGATGCATGGAAAAACAAAATAGACACCTGCCAGAGTGGAATAATATAATATATCATAATATACTAATTATCTTTGTATATGTCATATGTGTG